AAGAGTAAGCCACAAATTACTTGTTCTGATAAAGGCAATATGCCCGTGTTTCTGTCTTATAGAATCATAACAAGAGCAAAAATGGATGCAGGACAGAAAATAGTCACATCCTTTACTTTTTTCTGCATCACCATAGACTTTTATTAAAATGTTTAATGAATTTTTATTAGATAATATTTCAGGCAACAAGCCTGTTCACAAGTTTAACATCTAATGTGTGAGTTCAGAGGACAACGTAATCCAGTCTAATTGTGAGTTGATACCAAAATGACAGTATCACTCCTCCCTCTTGTATCCAGCAGTGCATGCCTGCCCTCCTTTGTGTTTGACTTCATACTTCTGATTCAGCAAATGAGGCTATTCAACAAATTGATCCAAAAGAAAATCAGTACTTTTATTTTTGGTAGCAAATTTTCTGTTGGATCTACTTACTGATCTGATTCACCTTGTGAACCATAATTGTCAGATTTGGTGAAAGGGAATCAACAGGAGCTCATGCTTAGGAGATGGAAACCCAGCCTCTTTCTATTTATCACAGCCACAGTTAAACATGATTTGTTGAAAGTGCACTGTAGTGGATAATTTGAAAAAATTAAAAATAAAACCTACTAATGCAGAAACTAAGGAGCAAAAAAAATTCCATAATGTATCTCTATTACAGCAAACACAAAAGTTACTAATTTGCATCGTAGTATAGTAGCAAGTTGGGGTTTCTGACATCAATATCTCCTGTCAAGATGCTTGAATCTCCCTGGCTCTTTTCCAAATATGAGCCATTGTTCTCTTCATAGCAGATATATTCTTACCTGGAAAACCTGAGTCTCCAGAAGCAACAAAGCTATCAGTCATGGCACCAAAAATTACCATCGTAATAGGGAGACTGCTTCCATGGGCTATGGCCAGGAGAGTGCCTAGTATCATTAGTAATTTATCTGACCAATTGGAGTATCGAAACTGTGAGTGAGAAGAGAAATTAATTCTAACTGTGGTATTTGAATGCTAACACAATGTTATGTCTATAAAGTCAAGAAAGTAAAGAAAAAGCTATCAATTGTACACTTAGTGTCACAAAACTACAACTTTACCTGATTAGAAACTAAGTTTACAAAACAATTTAAATGTACAGGAATAAATCCTCCTAATATAAGCACTTTTATACTATAAACTCTCAAAACCAGAGAAGTGTACTATTTTAATGCATCAATATCTGCACCTGGGTAAGAAAGGCCATGTGAAAAGGCATAAGAAATTCACCCTTTGTAAGTTTGCCATTTAAAGTTCAAATTATAAGAAATTTTAATGGCATGGTCATAATTAAGGCAACAATTATTTTTACCGTAAATTCATTTTTATGCAGTCAGAAAAACTGTTCCTAATGTACAATAGACATCAAAATGTACTGAAATCCTAAATACCTCTTGTCGTTGAACTTAAAAAAGTTTGAGCTCATCTGTTACAAAATCATTGGCTTTATTCTGTACTGTAAAATACTAAGAAGTTTACTGTTGTAAATTATAGTGGTATGATGTAACTGTAAAAGTGCAAGCTGGTATAGCAAAGCAGAGAAATTGGGCATTGGCCAGCATCGTGGGCTATAGTTTTATTTCTGTTGTTTGCCATATCATTGCTGTGCATCATGCACACTAAACCTACAAAATATAAAACATTTCAGTATTACTAAAACAGGACCTAGGATTTACTTTGATTAAATAATAACAGATTGTCTTTTTAAAAATATATAGAGAATAAAAAAATTCTGGAATTTAAAGTACTTTTTAGTACACAATATTTAATTTAAAGTTTCATCAGTGCCATGGAGTTCATTCAGTCACCTGAGTCAGCAGTAAAGGGCAACTCCTAAGAATCCATATCAGTATATACTGTATCGAATATTATGCAGTATCAAAGTATCTGGTAGAGACAAGACCATATATGCAGTGCTCTAACATAATTTTAACCATTTTCTGTTTACACTATGAAATGTGCGTGTGTGTATATATACGTACACATATAGAGAGATAATAAATCTTACCAGTGTAAGTGGGCTAACCATCCTAGCCTTTTCTGCTTTCTTGTTCTTCTTCTTTTCCTTTCTTAAAAGGTATGATAGTTTTAGTGCATTTAAAAAGTGACATGTCACAGAAATAATGTAATATATTAATGAAGTTCAATTAAAATATAATTATGAAATCATTTTACAGAAACAATTGTGTGTAAAATGAATACAATTTATTGAGCATTCCTGAGATGTTTCTATTTAAACCTCCAGGTATATAAGTAGCATCAGCTCCTGACTACTGTAAATTTAAGATCTTCCCAGTTCACCCCTCTCAAGGGTGAAACAACACCAGCAAGGGCTGGTGGTTTCACTGTCTGATCAGAGAAGTTGTGAACTGAAGCGGTATATAGCTTTCAAAATGGGAAAGAGGATGATAAATTATAAAATCAACTTTTTGCACATGGGGGATGGGAATAAATAAAATGTTCAAAGTATGTAAAATATTGATTCCCTGCCATACTAAAAATTTTAACATAATTTTTAGCTGATGACATAACTGTATCCAAGATGTCCATTCCAACATCATTTCTGTCATATTTTAGAAATGTTTCTCAATAAACTGTAGTCAATACTTTGGACACTTAATCCTTAAAAGATAAAAGGTCCTTCTGCACCAAATGAATGTGTCAATCAATGCTACTCTCAAGCTGATACAAAACTTTCTGTTATTAGGCTTTCCTGATAAAATAAAGTAAAATAAAATAAAAAATGAAATTTAAAAAAAAATAAAATAAAATATAAAACATGATAATGTAATCTTGTAAGCTGTAATACAGAACTTGTTTACAATGTTTAAGAATACTTACTGTTTGTCTTCAGATTCAATACCCTGACTGGATGCAGTGATCTCATGACTATTTCCATCTGCAGTACGCTTCTGCTTCTTTTCATCTTCAGAATGCATTTTAAATTTATTTAAGATAGTTCCCTGTAAAATAATATACAACCTTTAAGCCAAGGACAGTAATCTCAATGACCATTTGTTTGAAAGAAAAATATATATACTTATTAAAATCGATAAAGTTATTAATGTCATACATTGCAAGTGAATCCTCTTAATGGGCAAGTATAAACATGTTGAAACAAGTCCAGATATTTGGAGTTTTCTTACAAACATCTACATTCTGTATTTGTATCTGTTTGAGAACTGTCCTTCATTTAATTTCATTTGAATGATATAAGCATTATATTTTCTGCAATTCAGCACAGATATACAAAATAAATGAGAAAGTAGATATTTATTTAAAAGAATATGCAGTTATTTGGAATTTTCCCAATTTAGGTGTCAGTGAATTTTATAAAATATCTCTGATTTAAAAAAGAAAATTATTGACATACTGTGAAGGTTGTTCTTGGTTTGCGTCCAGTCCTCTGAAAGATTATTAAAAAATCAGCCAGATTAGTATGGTTAAGGACATTCAGCGTGATTGGACTTTGCTCTTCTTATGTAAAGCAGAGATGATGAACAGCTTCCTCTTGTTTTTTTCCCACTCCCGTTGCCTCGCCTACTTTGGAGAGTAAAGTGTATGCACTTTGGACTCTGCCTCCCTTTTCCTAAAGGGAATATTTAGCAAACAAACTCTTTAAATGCATGCTTATTTCATTGTCACCCAGGAAAACAAGCCTGAATAGTCTATTCTTCCACAAGGAAAAGTCCCCCTTATCCACTGTTGGTTTAATTATGCCCCTTAAAACTCCCAGGAATTCCTCTTTACCTTATTGGCGATGGTGCTAAATGCTCCAAGTAACTGTTACACTTAAGGATGAATCCATTCTTGAAAGGACAGCGACAACGAAACCAAATAACACAAAAGGAGTGTTTTACTCTCTTGCTTCTTTTCCCTTCTTCTAAGTCTAATCCAGAAAAACATGACCCATCTAGCCTGAAAGAAAATAGGACTTTACTATAGTACATGTAATTTCTGCTTTGAGTAACTGCAGAACAGCAAGATGACTTTCAGACTCAGTTTAGAAACGGTTTGGAAATAGCTATGGTCAGCAAAAATCTGCTCGATTAGTATCCTTCTGATTTTTGAGTATATGTTCAGATTCTAAACTGTTTTAAATGGAACATTTATCTTATTGTGGAATGTATTGTTTTTATCAATATCTGTAGGCATTACTTCAATGAAAATAATAATAAATATTTAAAACATTTAAAAGAAATTAATTACACTTCTTAACTTATTTCAATGCATTTAGTAAAGTAGATATGTTCAGCACTTTTACTGAAGTAAAATTTATGAAAAGTTAAATAAAAATCCTTGTCCTAGAAGACAAGTAGATTTATATGAATTTCTCTGTGGGTCTCCTATCGCTTTACTCAAACAAAACTTACTTAATCTGATAATTAACCAGAAGAGATAATTTTTGTTCCTTTAGTCATGCATGCCTGTAATCTCAAAATTTTTATAAAACTGAGTATTTTTACAATGTTTTGGAAAACAAAAAGTCTTATCAGAGTGAGGATTACTTTAGAAAGGGTAGTTTACCATTGTCAGTCAAGCAAAATATAAAGGATTAGTAAATAGAAGTATCATCTGTTTATGAAAAGTCATCCTGAGATACTTGTATAGACTTCTATCCACAGTAGTTAATGGGAATACTTCTGGGTTTTAACTTGTGTGCCTAACTGCTTTGCTGGACTTGATCCTAATGGACTGGTCCTAATGGACTGGTCCAATTATTTCAGTGGAAACTGAATAAGAGTTGAATGAGACACTCTAGAGAAAAGTCTAATTTAAACAGATGAAACAGTATATGCAGGTCTTTCACAACTGTTTCAGCTTAAAGGGAAAATGGACAAAACTACAAGATCTGTCTCTCATTGCAATGTCTCAATGCTGTTGCAGTACAATCATAAGAAAGTGAAACAGAAATAAATCAGAATAGCAATTTGTACCAGAGTTTCTATTGCCTGTGTACAATAGTGCAAAGAAAATGAAAGACTGTTTTACAGCCAGTTTTATCACACTAGGAGCTGAACCAACTAAAATGATATTAAAAAAGTGGGAAAATTGGGAAAGTACAGTATTTTACATCTACTTAGTAAGCTATAAAATTCTGTTATTTCTCTATAGCTTCTGTACTTTGACTTTTCAGTGACATAGCTTCACAGTTGCACAGAATTTGAGGCCAGAAAAAGTTCACTAAATCTTTCTTCTATTCTCTTGTATCTCAGAGTTTGCTATAAATCATTCAGCTATTTCCATGTTAAAATTGATAATTTGAGTTAGACTATATAATTTTGGTCTGAAGAGATGAAATTTGTGTCATAAACCAACAACAGAAGAATCTGAGGTATCATCACCACACTTTACCTTCACGTGAGTACATAAAAAACATGTAGGTGAACATAGTAGCTGATTCACAACCCAAGATTTATGAAAAGACCCAGAAAAAACATAGGTGCCAGTCAATCTAATCCAAGGAGAAATACTTTCTCATACAAAGTCTGGCAACCAGTTTTGCCCTAAATATATAAGCAGGATTCGTAAAACCAGTGTTTGAAAAATACTTTCTGTCTTCCCTTGGATCTTTGATGTCATCAAGGGAGATTTCTTTTTAATTCTGCAGGCTGAAGGCCTGACGCATGAAATCTTGTATAGACATTGTCTGTGTCAAACAGACATCGACTTAATGCAAAGTAAAGATGTTCTGAACATCTTGAAAGCAGAGTGTTCAGTTCACTCAAAACCTTTTTTTTTCTCCTTCTACTTATTAGTCACAAAATTTCCCACAGAAGATGGATTTAAACAGAGATGACCAAACTATGACCTTTGAGCTATTTAAGGCTCATAAACTATCCAAAATTCATTCCCAAACCAGTTTGTTATCCTATGATCAGAAGGAGCAGGGATCTGCTGATATGGGAACTGTTGGACAATTCAAATCCCTTGTTGTACAAGCAAGTAAAAAATGGCTGATAAGGTTCATACACCTGGATTCTCCAAAACTGTGCTACACATCCATCTCAGCCCTATCCCACAGCAGAGCAGTGGGACTCTATGAAGATAAGGACAACTGCAGCTCAAAGAACTACCTTTATTGAGATATGTGGTAAATGTCTTAAGATATTTTAGCCAGTTGAAAATTCTGGAAAGTAACTCATAGGATTAGGAAAGTTGACCTTGTCTAAATTAAAGCCTATACATAAGGAAAACATCTATTTTTACTTAAAATAATTGCAATTGCTCACAAGTTCATTGCACCTATTGGTTAGCTGCTTCTATGCTCCATTTCCCTTCATGGAAATTGTTTAGTTCAGGACAGAACAATACCTCTTGGATATTACAACTTCTCTGAGGATCTTCATTGTCAGATATCTTTTCAATGTGAAACTACTTACAAATATTCATAAGGTTTACTCAGCCCTCTCTTTATTAAGGTAGTAGCCAATTTCCTTTTGCCTGACATAGTTTTATGGCGCCTGGATTATATTCACACATCTTTTTTAGAATTTTGAGCATAAGAACTTCTTGCATTTTTGAAAGATGACCATTAGGTCCCTTGAAATATTCTGGAGAGATTGTAATGCTGTAGACTGAGGCATAATTAATTCCTTTCTCCTACTTGATATAAATGCATGGTTTGAATCATCTCTGTTGGGCACTCTACTGCAATGAGAGATTGTGCTGTAACAATAAACTACGACAAACCTTAAATCCCTCTCTAAGTCATTGCTCTTACTGACCATTCACCAGTCTTGTCAGTATAACTCACACAAAAGTGTTTAAGTTGTATTTTGCATGATTATAACATAATTTTTGGACTGCAGTAAGTTAGGTAACACAGATCATTCGGTATGGTAGCTCACTAGTAATTATTCCAGACTATTTCTATGCATTTATTTATGTAAATTCATTTATCCAACCCTCTCCTATATGTCAAAATGTCTTAATATTTTATGAACAAATTGATCATAAATCAGCTTCTGGAATGGCAGAAAAAGGCATATGAAAAACAGGGCGCTCATGTTTTTTGGTGAAGTTTCAACTAGCTATGCTTCCAGAAAAGAATTCGTGTTGAGAGAGTCTCATCCCACAAAGCACACATTGGTTCCATGGATTTTTTTTATCTGATGCAGGCCAGCAAAGGGGATGACCAACTGACACATGATATTGGAATAAACAACTGACACAGAAACTTTAACTTTGACATCAGTGTCAAAACATTGTGAAATGATGGCATGATACCTTCAAAATTTTCTGAACAATATCAAGAAAAACTAACCATTTTTTAATGCTTATCAATAAAAACAGCAAATGACAAGAAACTGAAGCAAATGCTTCAAAGCCTTTATATATTATAACCAGAGAAAAGGACAAACTATTTTTTTCTTTTATTTCCTTTAAAGATGGGGAGCTGGATTTTCAAAGAAGCTCCAGGTAGGCAAAATGGTGGAGAGGGTCCCAGGAATCCTGTAATGATTCTTCAATGACATTCAGCCCTAGCATAGGTTAGAACAAATGTGAACAAGCTCTGATTTATGATACTCGGGGAACTCCTGTTCCATTTTAGCAGCCTCTTTCCTGTTTATCAGTGCTGGAAAAGAATACTACTTTGTACAGGAATTTTGCCAACTTGGCCACCATTCTATCAATGAGAATTGTCCTGTATGAAGACAATTATCATACAGTCAGAAAATGACAATTTTGTGTTCCTTGAACTATGCTGTATGCTCAGCCACAAGTTATTGCCTATAGGAATTGCTAGACATCTTATTTGTCCTGGATTAAGCATGAGGACAAATGAAGTTATTGTAAGCATCAAGCTTCTATTTGTGTTTAAAAAGAAAGTCTACTACAAAAAGAATGTTTTAATGATGTTATGAAGCTCCACTTTTATTGTCTGGTGATCTGATTTGGAGTTAATTGTTTATTCTAGCAAGGGGGACTGCCACAA